TATAACACATATAAGGTCCTAAAAAGGGATACCAGGCACAAGTTAACGATGAAATTGATGAATTATTGGTAGGAAATGTGTTGTGAGCCTCATAATTTCATCAGAAACAACATTTTAACAGCAAAGACTTGAAGATTTTCTTTCCATCACTTGGCAACAAGTCAAAGCAATTAGAAGAGAATGTTCTACTTGTCATTTGTATGAGCAAATTCCAAAGAGTACTCAAAGAAATGAAATTCTGCAAAAGAATGCATTTCATTTTGCAGAGTTTGAAAAGTTAAAGTATGTTCATCATACCATAAATACATATTCAGGATTAAATGTGCTTTTAAGTTCTGAAAAGGCTGATTCTACAATTACACATTTATTAGAAGTCATGGCCATTATGGGGATAACTGTACAAATTAAGGCTGACAATGCTCCAGCACATATATCTAGTAAAATAAAAGTATTTTTGAAGGTTAAAACAAAAAGCATGTTATAGCTATGTCACACAATCCTACAGGACAAGCAGTTATAGAAAGATCTAGTTGCACTTTAATAGCTATGCTTAAAGAACAGAAAGGTGTAAAAGAAAATAGATTACATAGTGTTTTACTGACATTGAATTTTTAAATGCTAATTAAAAAAGGAACAACAGCTGCAGAGAGACATTGAATGATAGAAAAACTGAATTATAAATTTTAAAGATGTATAGATCTCAGCATGAAAACAAGGATTTGTATTACATTAGGGAAGAGTTTTTGCTTTTATGTCCACAGAAGAAGAAAAACTATGGATACCATAAAGATGGATAAAGATGAGATTCAGACAGGAGAAACCTCTTGATTAGGACAGGTAATAGTTCATCACACAGCTTGGCCATTGAATCTAAACTCACTTATAAGACGTATTAAATGACTTTTGATTGATCTGGTAAAAAAAAATTAATATTTTACTATTAAAAGATAACACTTTTTCTGCTGCCAAAAAAAAAAAAAACCATTTTGCCTTAACAATGATACGTAACAAAAAGGAACTACCAATGTTAGGGCTGGAAAGAGTTTTGTTTTTGTCTTTCCAGGAGAATAAAGACATCTCCCTAAGGAATCTGAAGATTACTGGACAAATGAGACACCTTAAGAAGGATGAATCAACCAGAGAAAAATGACCCCACCCCCCAAAAAAAAAGAGTAAAACTGGCTTAACAATATAGTACATTTATGGAAGGATAAAATTTCACAAATTTTCCAAATGTTTGTTTCTGCTGCTCTCTACAAACAAAAAAGACAGTCTTTTTGTGGTCCAAATTCAGCTAAAAATCAAAGCTGCCTTTGAAGACAGAGCATGGCTCATTCCTTCTCTAAACCCAAACATGCCTGTTAAGAAAAACCAACATCTCTGTCTCATGTCAAAAGAGACACCTGGCATGGGACAGAAGAAAATCCAAATTAAGGAACTATTCTATTGCCACTAATCTCATGATCCTTTGGTTTTACTAAAAGAAAAACTTTTAATAGATTTTCTTAAGTTGTAAATAGTATCACAAAATTTACACATATGTGTGTGTGCATATATAAATATATATATATATATATATATATATATATATATATATATATATATATCTATGTGATATTAATGGTCATAGAGAGCACTAACTAATTCTAGAAATAGGCATCGTCTATCTTCCTATATGTAATTTTGGGCTGGAGTCTGAAGCAGGTAACTAAGAATTAAGTTTGTATACCCTGGATATGCTTAATAGATTGTACTTTCCAAGACCTGATATATATGACTTTTCAAATATTCATTTTCTGCAGTGAACTGTGACCATGCCTACCAGTGATCTGTGAAATCATCCAAAAGGATGATGGGGCCCCACAATGATTATTCTACCTGGATTGTGGTAACACTAATAAGCTGACAAATAGTACCCAAAAATAAGCTTTGAACTATAAACTGCTCAGGAAAATTTCAAGGCAGTTAGCTGTGGTGGTCTAGCCTCACAGAATATCTCACTTTTCTCAGTGTTCCCTAACGCTGAAGTCTCCCCCAAACAACAAGAAAATTAATCCCACATTCCCAAGAGGTGAGGTGGGTGGTGTTTTGGTCATTCGGTGGGTTATGAATGTTTGTCATCATTTGGAGGGGAAGGGGTTGGTTGGAAACTGTTACTGGTCATGGTAAGGGAAGAAACTAAGCAGGGAGGTTAGATTCAAAGATCTCTATCTAAAAGAAAGAAAAAAAGGGGGATATAGAAAGAATATAATGAAAGTACCTACTTTAAACTAAAAAGCAATTATTAATCTCCAATATTTTACATTGGTATGGATTTTTTATATTGATACAAATTTGATATTTTTGTTAGAATATACTTTATATATGTTCCTAATCTTGTTTAAGGTATTTTTGTATATTGATACAAATTTAAGGTTATTTTTGTTACACTGTATATAAGTTTCTGCTCTTGCTCAAGGTATTGTACCTAAGCAATTCATTTAAAAATATAATGTATAATTAAGAAATACAGGTTAGTAGTTAGTCATCTATAATAAAGTTTAGTTATGTTAGGTATGTTTTCAAGATTAAACAGAAATATATTTTAGATAGGTAGGTGAACTTCAACATGTCAGAGATCTAGAGAATATATCAAGATGTTTAGTAACCAAAAGCTTTTCATTACCAGTGAAACACTTCTGCTCTTTGAGGCACCAATTTACTTCAAAAAAGGGTGATGGGTATCAAAGATCCTCTATATGGAGTTTGTTTTCAGTGTGGCAGAGTTAGCCACCAGGTAAGAAACAATCTTTTTCTGGACTGGTGACACAAAAGAAAGTAACTGCCAAACTTGGACCAGACAAGGTAGTACAGTCCTTCAAATTTCCTACTTCACAGAAAAGTCTATCAGATATTCTAGGCTGCAAGCTGAAGATGGATGCCCCAATGTTGCAGAGCAAGCTACTTCTGTCATTTCTATAGTTTTAGAAGTTATTTCTTCTGTTCTGCCTGTTTACTCAGGTAATATTTTATCTTTCTTGGGGCTCTGGTAGGGTTGAAGACAAGATAATTATAGTTTTCCTTGTTACCAAAGTCAGAAAAAAAAAAAAAAAAAAAACTCAAAAGAAGTATAGGGTGTATGTGTTGAGAGACATAAAAGCTTAAATTGTTTATCTGAGAAAATGTTTTAAGGTCTAAAAGGATAGTTCTGTGTTGTTAATACAAGTTAGGATAGAAAGTAAATTAGATACAAAACACTGGACACACCAAGAAAGGATAGATAATAGCTTCTCTGAATTTGCCAAATACAAATGGACTGGATATTGTGAATGTAAAATTCTTCCTTGATACCTGTTCTTATTATATATAGTTTTACTCCCTTTTATTTATACAAAAAGAGGAAAATGATAGGGGATATTTGATCACACTATGAACCCCAAGTTTGCATTTATATTGATAAATGAAATTAACCTTAGCTCAGAAGGCTGAATTGACAGGAAGTAATCATAGAGCATCAGAAGGCAACCAAAAGAGATAAAGAAACATCGGAACTAGCACAGAGGGATTTGCAGAACAGAAGTACAGGTATTACGGAGATTCCAGCAAGGACAGAAGGTTAGCCATTTGCTACACAGCCTCTCTGAGTTCACAGGTCTTTCCCCCAGCCTTTGAATCTCAGGTCTTACTTACAAATAGTACAACAATACAGATTTAGTTAAAGCTACCTTAAGTGCCAAAGACAGGGGTGGTGACAGTGAAAACAGAATGCCCACCAGGCTGTAGCCTGAGCAGGCTAGTAACTGCAGAGTAGCAACTGCTGGATGAAATAGCATTAGATTAAAACAACATTGGAGGTCAGCCTGATCTACACAGGGAGTTCCAGGATAGCCAAGACTACTCACAGAAATCCTGTCTTGAAAAACGAAAAATAAGTAAATAAAAATAAATAAATAAAGTCTGGATTTTCCAAACTACATTGTTTCTAGCCCACCACTACTCCCTCTAGTCTGTTAAACTCCACATCCACGCTCTCACCTCTCTTAGTAGCAAAGTAGTCTTTGCAATTGTTGCTTCATCAGCAGCATTCTTACCAATATTCTTCCCATTCCTTGCCACCAACTTGGTCTCTTATTAATTATACCTTTACTGTAGTGTGCCCTGGCTTATCCTTGCTGTATTTTCTCCTCAATGAATTCATCTGCTTTTAGTACATATTATCTTCAGAATCCCATGACTCTTCCTTCCATATCTACCTATCTTTTCTACACAGCAATTTATAGTTTTTAGTTTGCTTTTTCCTCAGTCATTCACTACAAAATACAACACAACATATACTTGTGATCAGTCATAAAATCCTCATGTTTCTACTGTTAAACAGCTTTGGTTTCTTTTTCTTTACTAGTCAAAGACATTGAAAAGCAGAACTTGGGTTTGTACCCTACCTTCTGAAAAGCTGTTTCTGCAACAGTCAATTTTGTTCACACTATATACCTGAACCAAGATGACAAGAATGTATCTTCCCAAATTATTAGACTATGCATGTGCAATAAATACCACTGGAAAGCTGAGGAAGTCTTCTAGTCCTTTGTATTACCCCCTTAAATTCCTACTCAGGGGCCAGGTAGTGGTGGCTCATGCCATTAATATCAGAACTAAAGAGGCAGAGGAAAGAGGATCTCTGTGAGTTCAAGGCCTGCCTGGTCTACAGAGTGAGTTCCAAGACAGCCAGAGCTACACAGGAGGGGGGGAAAAAAGATATTCCTACTCAGAACTTGTTAGAGAAGTACGCACAATTGTTGTTACTGCTTTCAATAAAAACAAACACAGAATTGATGTGTTAATTTTGAAAAGTAACTTGGCAGTGATTCACAAATGACAAACTGGTTTGGAAAACACAGGAATCTTTTGGGATATTGGTGCTATGCTGATAAGCACTTCAGGCAAAACCCTCGTCAGCAGAACCATCTGATATCACACTGCCTATTCCACTAACACATGTATAAAAGCAAACACCACATTACCTTGCCTTCTTAATTTGCAGATCTTTAGGCAGCACTATTCTGAGGAAGAAATCACTTCCCTGTATAAAATAAAAGTGCAAATTTACTTATTTCACTTAATGCTGAAAAGTTAAAGCCACACAAAACATATTTTACTGTATTTATAAATGATACAAAGTTTACTAATAGTTTTATACTGAAGAATATAAGCAACATATGTGAAACCAAAAAAACATTAAGATAGGCCCTGGATTTTTAAAGAAAAAGAAATAAGGAAAAGAAATACTATAAAATTGTTAGCAAATAAACATGCAAAAATTTATTTCTTAAAGTATAAATTCACCAAAAAAGAATATTGCTTCAAGTTGATACAGATGATGAAAGAAAAAAAAAATGACAATATAAAATATGAATGTATATAGTAAAAATGGCAATCTTGCCAAAAGAAATCTACAGATTCAATGCAATCCCAATCAAACTAGTGGCACAATCCTTCACAGACCTTGAAAGAATAATACTCAACTTTATATGGAAAAACAAAAGACTCAGGAAAGCCAATACAACCCTCTACAATAAAGGAAATTCTGGGGACATCACCATCCCTGAATTCAAACTCTATTATATGGCTACAGTCCTGAAAAAAAAGCTTGGTATTGGCACTAAAATAGACAGGTAGACCAATGGAATTGAATTGAAAACCCAGATACTAACCCACATACCTACAAACACCTGATTTTTGACAAAGAAGCTAAATTTATATAATGGAAAAAAGAAAGCATCTTCAACAAATAGTGCTAGCAAAACTGGAAGCTGGTGTGTAGAAGACTGCAGATAGATCCATATCTATCACCATGAACAAAATTTAAGTCCAAATGGATTGAAGACCACAACATAAACCCAGCCACACTGAACCTATGAGAAGAGAAAGTGGGAGGTACCCCTGAAAAATTGGTACAGGAGACTGCTTCCTGAATATAACACCAGTAGTACAAACACTGAGATTGTCAATTAATAAATGGGACCTCCTCAAACTGCGAAGCTTCTGTAAGGCAAAGGACATAGTGGCCCACAGAATGGGAAAAGATATTTACCAACCCCCACATCTGATTTCAAAAATATACAAAGAACTCAAGAAGCTACTTACCAAAACACCTAATAATTCAATTAAAAAGTGGGGTACAAAACTAAATAGACAATTCTCAATGGAGAAATCCAAAATGGCTGAAAGACACTTAAGAATGTGCTCAACATCCTTAGTCAGCAAGGAAATGCAAATCAAAACAATTCTGAAACACCATCTTACTCCTGCCAGAATGGCTAAAATCAAAAACACCAAAGACAGTTTATGCTGAAGAAAATGTGTAGAAAGGGGCACACTCCTCCACTGCTGGTGGGAGTGCAAACTTGTATAGCCACTGTGGAAATCAGTATGGTAGTTTCCCAGGAAAATGGGGATTAGTTTACCTCAGGACTCAGTAATTCCACTCTTAGGCATATACCCATATGCACATTCATAAAACAAGGACATCTGTTCAACTATGTTCATTGCAGCAATATTTGTAATAGCCAGAAACTGGAAGCAACCTAGATGCCCCTCAACTGTAGAATAAATAAAGAAGATGTGGCACATTTACACAATGGAATACTACTCAGTGGAAAAACACAATACAATCCTGAAATTCATAGGAAATGGATGGTACTACAAGAAACCTTCCTCAGTGAAGTACCCCAGTCACAAAAAGACAAACACAGTATGTACTCACTCATATATGAATTTTAGACATAAAGCAAAGGATTACCAGCCTACAATTCACACTGCCAGGAAAGCTAGGAAACAAGGAGGACCCTATGAGAGACATGCATGGTCCCCTGGAGAAGGGGGAAGGGACAAGATCTCCCAAGCAAATTTGGAGCATGGATGGAGGGAAGAGAGAGTCTGGAGAAAGAGAAGGGGAGAAGAGGAGAGAAGCAGAGGGGAGAGGTGGGCATGAGGGAGGAGGAAGATTGAGACAGAGAAAGAACAGAGAACAAGAAAAGAAATACTGTAATAGAGGGAGCCATTATAGATTTTAGGAGAAATCTGGCACAAGGGAAATGCCCAGAGATCTACAAGGATGAGTCCAACTAACAATCTAAGCAATAGTGGAGAGGCTACCTTTAATGGCCTTCATGATAATGAAATTGACAACTACCTTATATGCCTAGAGCCTTCATCTAGTAGCTGATGGAAGTAGAAGCAGGCACCCACAGCTAAACACTAGCAGAACACCTGGAATCCAGGGAGGAGTGATAAGCAAAGGGGTTAAGATGAGGCTGGAGAAACCCACAGAATCAGCTGGCCTGAACAAGGGGGAACTCATGCACGCCAGTCTGATAGCTGGGAAACCAGCATAGGACTGACCCAGACCCCCTGAATGTGAGTGTTACTTAGGAGGGCTGTGCAGACTATGGGGCTTCTAGTAATGGATCAGTATTTATCCCTAATATACTAATGGACTTTGGGACCCCATCCCACATAGAGGGATACTTCTCAGCCTAGACACACGGGGGAGGACCTATGACAGGCTTTGAAGACTCCCCATGGAAGGCTCATCCTCCCTGGGAAGCAGAAAAGGGATGGGCTGACTTTGGTGGAGGTGACAGGAGAGGATGGGAGGGTGAGGGAACTGGGATTGACATGTAAAACAACCTTGTTTCAAACTTAAATAAAAAAGGGAATGTATAATGTATTCATATTTCAAGTATGCAATTTCTAAGTTTTAACAAAATTAAAATATAGTGTTATATAACTTCAGTATTTAGACATAACAGATACTTTTAGGGGTTGGACAGATGACTCAGCAGGTAAGCAGCTTGTGGCATAAGCATGAAGATCTAAGTTCAAACCCACAAAAAGAGCCTATAACCCCAGTGCTGGGGGTAGGAGGCAGGAGGACCTCTGGGGCTTGATGGCCTCCAGCCTAGAACTAAATTCAATAAAAGACCATGTCTCAAAACAGCAGAGAATGACTGAGCAGGACAGCAAATGTCCTCTGCAATCTATACATGTTCATGAGTGTGCATACATGTGTATATACACATATACACACCAAAGAAGATATGTATACCAACACACACACACACACACACACACACTGAAACAATTTATATAGTGAACATTCAATAACTAAAATAAAACTTTTTAAATCTAAAAACTCACTAGTTATACAAAATTTTTCTCAAAAGAAAGGGAAGTGTGTTCTCTGAAAAATATATTTGATTATACTTCTTTCAAAAGTGAATAGGTAAGCAGTTTAAACTTTGTAGCTTAAATAGGATGATACATGTGAAATCTGAGCAAAAGTAAGCAGGACAAGACAAACAGAAATGTAATCTTTTACTCCAACAATGTAAAATGAAAAGAGTAATAAAATTCTTGAAAAACAATTACCATGTGGAATTTTAGCAGATTCCCTTAAAGCAGATTCAAAAACAGAGGAACACAATTAAATGTACCCCATAACCTTTACTTTCATGGTAATATTACGGTTCTGACTTTCATTACATTTAAATGTCCTTTAAAAAAACGAAACAAAATGTACTACTGACCTTTTCAAAAGGTCAGGTAACAATAATTCACTATTTCATTAAAGCACTAAAAGGCATTATGTAGTAAGTTTAGCCTAACTTCATAGACACACACACAGGTCTAAGAATGATATGAATTGCACAATATACATGAAAGCAATTCTCCTCTACCTGAAAGAAGAAAATTCAAAGTCCCAGACTTGAGAAATCTAGACACTATAAAAGGTCAAGTATCATAAATGGGCCAATAATTGACTTTTTCAAGAAAATATATAAAAATAGACTTTCTGTAGTTAAAGCAACTAAATAGTATTAATATTTCTCAAAAAGCAACATTTTCACACTTCCAGACAACATAAGTACAGAGTTATCTAAACCTAAATGCCTGACACCTCCCACCAGAAAATTAGAGTGATTAATAGTATAAGCAATGACAAATAGTATAAGCAATGACAAAAACCCCATGTTTACAACCAGAAGTCAGAGAACACAATAAATTTGTAATTACTTGTAGAAGGGAGAAAATCACTTTCAAGTAGAGCTACTTCTGGTGTTCCATCAACAGAGTTAGGAGTATTATATATATATATATATCATAGAAGAAACATTGAGGGAATTCCCATTGCCATTAAGTGCAAAAATAACAAAGATTGTGGGAGAACAGAGCAATAATAAATAAGAGACCTAATATGGACCAAATACTCAAGGAGAGGTGGCAATGGGCAGCCATGCATTATCTTAGCACTCAGAAAGATGATGGGGAGCATCATGAACTTGAGGCTTGCCTGGGCCAGTTTAAAAAAGGGAAAAAGAAAGAATAGAGATGTCTGAAACATTTTTCAGAACAAGAAAAAACTGCACATTAGAAAGAAAAAAATAATGGAAAACTTCAGCTCTTATGAAAGCAGTAAGAGCCCTCACATATCACCACTCCCCCTCCCCCCATATTAATTCATTAAAAAAAAAAAAACTGCACTTTCCATCACCAACAGAAGAGGGTGTTATTGAATCAGAAATTTCACAAACTATTGCAAACAGCAAAACACTCACAAACTCAAAGATCTATGACCCACCAACCCAAAGTGTTGTGGCACATAGACAGTGAAATTGCAAAGTGTCTCAGGCAATGGCCGAATCCAGGAACACACCAATTAGAACAAGGAATGTCAGGAAATGAAAATCTCAAGTCTAAGATGTCTACAAACTAAGACCAGAAACTGAAAGAAGCAATGAACTCAATGACTAAACTCAGAAAGGAAATTAAACAAATCAAAATGACATTGAGATGAGAAAATAAGTTTAAACATGATGAAGGAAGAACAGAGTAAAACAAAATTTCTTAACAGTGGAATAAAAGCAAGAAAAATGATAAATGACCATGAGGGAAAAAATTATGGATGAAGTTGAAAGCACTAATGAAAGTCCAATACACATGTAATAGGAGACACTGAAAAGAATATTTACAATCATAGCCTAACTCCACTTTCTGCAAGTCAGCACACACTAAAATTGACAAGTTTTCATGAGCAAAATGAGTCATAATAATCCAGCCTGAAAAAATATCAGAATTTAAATATAACGAGAAGAGGCCAAAAAGATGACTCAGTGGGTAAAGGAATATGCCATCAAGCCTGAGTGATTCTATCCCTGTGACTGATATGGTGAAGGAGTGAACCTCCTCCCTCTTATCTTTTGACCTCCAGATTACATACTGTAGCATGCATGTACCTATATACAGGGATATATACACATATGCATACACACATACAAACATGCATATACACATATGCACATGCATACATATGCACACATACACATGCATGTACCTGTACACATGTACATACACACATATACACATACATGTACATTCACAAATACACATGCATACACACAAAATAAGCAATGTTATTTTAAAGGAAAAAATTTTTAATGAGGTTTTATAGGAAGTACTGAAAGCTAGGAGACATAAACATAGACTATGAAAAGCAATTGCTTTGGAAGGAGGAAGCCAAGGGCTTCACATACACTAGCACCGGTTCTGTCAAAGAACTAACTCCTGAGCCTAGTCTACAAAGGACTCTTCCAGCTCACTCAATTCTGGAATAATCCAACCTGCCAAACCAGAAATCCTTGTAATATAAAAGCCATGAAATACAGTACACAGGAAAGTATTGTTTCACTTGTAGAGCCAAATTAACCTCTGTTCATGTTTAATAGAAATAAAAGGAAGCCCTGAAACAGTTGAACTCTCCTCAAGTAACCACTACTGCTTATAACAACAATAACAAAAAAAAAAAAAAAAAAATCCATGGTGGGCATACTAACAAAGCATATTATACATTCAAAGAATGTATAATCTGGGCCTCTGTCAAAGACCCTGATCACCTGGCCTCTGCCGGACACCAGGCTTCTGCCTGAGACCCACCTATCCATGTAGGACCACCCTGAGACCCTGCCTGCCTGATCTTTGACCCCTATCGCCAGGCCTCTGCCAGAGATGAGTCTGGGACCAGTTAAGGTCGAGTCCCTCCCATACCTTGCCTGGGAACTCCCTGGGTTAGCCCGGAATCTCCCTCCTCCATAAATCCTGTTTTCATCGATAACACTCTTAGGACTCTGATCCACACACCTCCCCCTCAGAACCTGCCCTATTCCACCCTGTGCCCTGCCTACCCCATCGCCCACTGCACTGGTTGAGCACTGGATCAGAGGGCAGGTCCAACAATCCCTCTACCTCTGAAGCGCTTCCTAGACCTGCTTTGAGCACACTAGACCCACCTAACCACGCAGGACCACCCTGAGTCCCCACCTGCCTGATTGTTGATCGGCATGGCAGGCCTTTGCAGGAGACCCCCATTGCCTGGCCTTTGGCAGAGGACTGGGCTAGAGACCCGCCTATCCACACAAGACTACCCTGAATCCCCCGCCTACTTGATCTTTGTCCTCATCGCTAGGCCCATGCCTGAGGAGAGACCTCCTAGAGATTTTGGATCATCCAGAGCTACAGACATTGAACACCTGACCCACTTAAGCCCACCAGGGGAGTAGCATAGAGAGAGAGACCCCACCTGCACCCACTGGAAGAAGCAATGGGAAGATGTCAATACAAAAAAAATCTAACAATAGGAAGACAAGCATAACACCAACAGAATCTAGGGACTCTACACCAACTAGACCTGAACACACCAAAGCAAAAGAAGCAGAAGAGAACAACTTAAAGAATATCTTCATAGAAATGATAGAGGCCCTCAAAGACGATATGAGAAAATCCCTTAAAGAAATGGAAGGAAAAACAAACAAAAAAATGGAAGAAATAGAGGAAAAGATTAAGCAAAAACAAGCAAGAAATGGACAAATATCTTAAAGAAAGGAACACCAAGAAAAAACAATCAAACAGGTAAGGAAACAGTTCAAGACTTAAAAATGGAAAGATCTCCCATGTTCTTGGATAGGTAGGATAAACATTTTCTGGTGTCTTCTTTAATTTCTTTCTTTAAAGACACAAAGTTATTGGTATATAGGTCTTTCACTTGTTTGGTAAGCATTATCCCAAGATACTTTATGTTGTTTGTGGCTATTGTAAAGGGTGATGTTTCTCTGATTTCTTTCTCATCCCCTTTACTGTCTGTATATAGTATGTCTGTATATAGTAGGGCTACTGTTTTTTTTGTTTGTTTGTTTGTTTTTTGAGTTAATATTGTATCCTGCTAATTTGCTGAAGGTCTTTTTCAGCTGTAGGAATTCCCTGGTAGAGATTTTTGGGTTGCTTATGTAAACTATCATATCATCTTCAAATAGTGACAGTTTGACTTCTTCCTTTCCAATTTGTATCCCCTTTTGTTGTCTTATTGCTTTAGCTAGAACTTTAAGTACAATATTGAAGAGATATAGAGAATGGACAGCCTTGTTTTGTTCAGACCCCCTGAACATGTGTCTTAGTTAAAAGGCCTGGGCAGTCTAAGGGACCTATGACAGTGGAACCATAATATATCCCTGGTGCACGAAAGGGCTTTGGGAGTCCATTCTCCATGGAGGGCAACTCCCTAAACCTAGAGATAGGAGGGAGGGCCTAGCCCTACTCTAAATGACTTGACAGATTTTGTTGATCCCTCCTGGAAGGCATCACCCTCCCTGTGGAGTGGGAGGGGAGGTGAATCGGGGGAGGTATGGGAGGGAGGGAGAGGGAACTGGGATAGACATGTAAAATTAAAAAAAAAAAAAAAAAAAAAAAAAAAAAAGCAAGATGAGGAAAATGCAATACCAAAGGCAACTCCTTTAGAAACTTAGAAAATGTGCTGCCGCTGGTTAATTTGGGACAGTACAAATAAAATAAAGGAAGTAACAGTCACAAACACACAGTCAGTCAAAAAGAAATAAGACAGGAGACCTATCCCTTATAGCAAAGTACCAATCCATAGATAGAAAGGCATGACAGTGATGGAAATGGCATGAGAGTGATGGGGAAAATCACTTGGCATCAGTCACATTATTGTCTGACTGGAGCCAAGAGTCAAGGATTGAGACTCTACGGTATGTATATGAATGTGTAATGTTCCAATGAACCCCACCAAAAAGTACTTGTTAATTACAAAAGAATACCTAGCAAAAGTCACTCTAGTCTGTTTATGGATGTTATGAATATCAACATTGGGAGCAGGTGACTTCCTATGTCTTAAGAGAACACTCTTTCTGAGGTGATCCTACCCAAATGCATTACCAGAATTTAATGGTGAGAAAATATCAAACCTAATAACCTGAAGGCTTAAAAATAAAAATTCAAGTTAATAAAAAACAGACTTAAAACTTCTCCAAAATAAAGAGATAATTAAATTCACCTATGAAATTTATACCAGATAGCAGTTTTAGTAACTGTAGTGAAGTTAAGTCTGAGTGGACCCTTGTTTTTATGAAATGAATGCTAAATTATTCAGAGATAAAGAATTATGTCTATGATTCAATCTCAAAAGGTAAGGAAAATGTGCATACAGGATCAGCCACAATGATACTCTTGATAAAGCCAGTTGTGCTGGATAGGTTTTAGGCAGTATTCAAGACTTAAAGGAATATAAAAATTAGAAATTACCTGCATCAAAGGCTAACTTGTTTCCAGTGGAATCTGATGGCTGCAACTCTTTCCTAATGTGCTACTGCAGAAATACACATGATGTACACAACACTTGCTCTGCTTTTCCTGTCCAGCCTTTGCCTGGCATGTGAATGGCTACAGGCTCAACCTTCAATAACTCACACATAACAAACCTTGAACTTTTATGAGTGTCTCTATAAAAGAGAGTGGGAAACAGCTGAACTGGATATTTCAACAATTAAGCAAGAAAAGGTAGATAATACATATTCCTTCAACTATAACAAAATATAACAGTCAGAAGCTCAAGCTTCCTGTGTGTTCATTAATCAAACAACTTCTTTTTATTTATTTATTTATTTATCTTTCTTTTGGTTTTTGAGACAGGGTTTCTCTCTCTCTCTCTCTCTCTCTCTCTCTCTCGTGTGTGTGTGTGTGTGTGTGTGTGTGTGTGTGTGTGTGTGTGTGTGTGTGTGTGTGTGTTTGGGAGGGTGTCCTGGGACTAGCTCTGTACACCAGGCTGGCCTCACAGAGATTTGCCTGACTCTGCCTCCTGAGTGCTGAGATTAAAGGCATGTGCCACCAACGCCTGATCAAACAACATTTTCTTAACTTCCAATAATGCTTAGGGATGAGGAAAAGTTTCACCCTGAAACAGACTTGATAATGTGCTCAGTATTCTAGAGACTGTACTTTAAGGAGACCTCAACACACATGGTAACTGAGGACTCCTGTCACTAAGGGGAATTTTACACACAGTTGAGTCTAATATTTAGAGGATAAGTCCATACTTGAAATCGGAAGCTATTGTATTTGTTATACCACGGAAAAGCAGGAAATGATATTTTATTTTTTTAATAGCCAGAGTTTCTAGGTTATCTGATGCCATCACAGCCAAGGTATTTGGCTTCTCTACATTTCCCAGGATTAAATTTCAAGTATAAAAATAAATCGATGCCTTTTTTTTTCTTTTGGATTGTTTCTTTTTAAGTTCTACTTAATATTGGACTCGGAGTGCAGAGTGCTCTGTACACTGCAAAATCATGAGTGTAGTAACAGAACTCAGGAAGGGGCTCAGCAAATGAAACTGCTCATCACCTTCAAGCTCTGGCCAGCCGCCCCGCCCTCCTGCCAGCGACGGCGCCCGCGCTGCCCACAGCGACAGCGCAAGCGCAGTGCTGAGCGCTGTTTCTCGGCTGGGCCTGAGCCCGTCACGGTGGCCGGGTTAGGGCTGCGCCGCAAGTAACAGGCTCAGGCGCCAGAGCATGACCGACCCCGCAGGGTACCTGCGCCGAAATGAATCCCTGATACACAGTTTTCTCCCGGTTCTGAGGAAGCAGCAGCGGGAAGTGGCGCAACAGGTTAGCATCTCTCTCTGCCATGGCGCGCTGGAATGGCTACCGCACAGGCGCAGTGCGCGGGTTGGGGGGCGAAGGGGCGGGCACCGGCTTTGGCGGGAAGTGAGTGGCTCCTCCCAGCGGGGCTGGCTCCTGCTGCTCTGCCCTGTACTCTTCTGCTGGGCCAGGTAGTCCAGGGAAGGAAGGCAAGAAGCTCACTCTCAATGCCGGCTGGTCTGATTTTATTGAAACTCCAGGGCCAACTTTCCTCCCGTGAGAAAGCTACAGTGCGCATGTCACATACTGCCTTTACCCTGAACCTGGCTCATCTTCCCTCCTGCTCTTTTGTTAGCTCTAGGCTGAGTCTCCAGCTTACCCTGTCAACCAGCTGCATATGTAAATAAACTGTAGTACATTCAATGCAGAATTTGTTTGACAGAAGTTGTCGCAATACTTGAAGTGCACTTAAAGAAGAATGCTGCAACTGTGGTTAAATTATGTCTGTCACACAGTGATGGTGGTTCTCAGCATTGCTGTGACCCTTTAATCCAGTTCTTCATATTGTGGTGACCCCTGAACATACAGTTAATTTCATTGCCACTCATAACTGAATTTTGCTACTGTAATGAGTCCCAATGTAAATATTTGTGGAGATAGAGGTTTTCCAAGGGGGTCACAACCTGCAGGTTGCAAACCACTGCACTAAGACCTCCTCAAAATGGAACTGAGATTGCAGTTGTGTCAACCAAAAAAAAAAAAAAAAAACGTGTACACCTTCTGTGTTACAACTCTGAGAGGAAAGGTGTCCTGACAGTCAGGCTTCAAGGAATACCACAAACTCACACCACTCAACAAACCTCACAAAAGAGGTTTATTGGGAAGAACACTAGAGGGTAAGGCCTCTGCTTGGGTGAGAAGCAGTAGGGAACTGAGAGGAGACAGGTTCATATAGGGTTTCTTGTGGATGGAGTTTTCCAGGATGGAGATTTCTAGTGTGGGAATTGATGGGGTTTCAAGTCCTGAGCTTGGAGCACTCCGGGATTGGCGGGGGTTGGGAACTCAGGGACTCCTGGGTTTTCAAAACTCAGAAGTGAGTGTGCACTTCTTTACCTCATAATTTAAAGAGACAGAAGTTTATCCCGTGATGGAGTCAGAACATACCACCTTGGCATTTGGATAAACAATAAAACCAAGATCAATCTAATCCTCTCTGGACCCAGGTCCTGAGATGCTCACCCTAGAGGGCCTTCTCTATACCTGGAATAAAAAATAAATAAATAAATCAACCTATCTCTGTAGATGCAGGGACATGGAAAAGAAACTACATATGAATTGCTAAAATTGTCCCAGTTTGTAATCATTAGATTATACCCCCTTAGTATAGTCATATTGCCTCAGAAACAAAGAAAGAAAGAAAAAAAAAGGTTTCCATATTGCTTTGAGTCTCAGTTTGTTAGGTTTCTATGTCGTGTAAATGGTATTAAGTAAATTTTATGCTTTTCTCTTGTTAATTTGTCTTTCATATACATGCTATTTTTCTGGCATTTCATCATGTATAATTTCTCACATCTTCCTAAAGTGTCTGCAATAGGATTTTTGTCTTGGCTATTGCTAAATAAAAATGAAACAGCTCACACAGAAGAGATCTCAGCACTTGGAATCCCATACCTTTAATCCTAGCTCTGGAGAGATATAAAAGATAGGATCGGGCCATTCAGGATTCAGTGTCAGATTTATTCTCCAGGCATGCAGAGGACAGGACACTTCTTTTCAACCTAAGGTAAGAGCTAGAGGGCATCTGGTTTACTTTTCTGATCTTCAGCTTGAACCCCAATATCTGTCTTTGAGTTTTTATTATTTGTGTTACACACAAATGATTCAAATGCATACTGAATTAAGATCTGTTCAGTCATGCAACTAGATAATTAAGAAGATTTAAAATTTGTGATATCTCTTACAAGCTACATGAGAATCCACTCCAAATTTCAAGCTCTTTGAAGCACCTTATGTACAATTTTTTTTTTGTATAGTGTGTCACAAAACAGTATTCTTTAAATGCTATGATTTTGGAAAACAATGTCCTAATGTAGAAAAACTTAAACATTTTGAAAAATAAAAAATAGAAGTTCTACAATTATATATGTGGTAGTTCTCAATTCTCTCTCCCTCCCCCACCTCTCTCTCTCTCTCTCTCTCTCTCTCTCTCTCTCTCTCTCTCTCTCTCACACACACACACACACACACACACACACACACACACACAGACTTTCCCACAAGAGGGCACTTGCATTTCTAATCACCCTAGGGGTGGCCAGGCTCTCTCTATTTTTGGTCAAGTCTCCAATCATTTTTTTAAATTATTTTTTTTGTTTAAATTAAAAACAATTATTTTACATACCAATCCCAGTTTCCCCCTCACTCCCATCCCCATCTCCCCATCCTACTCCCACCCACTCCTCAGAGAGGGTGAGGCTTCCCATGGAGAACCATCAAAGTCTGTTACATCATTTGGGTCAGGACAGAGACTCCCCCCCCCCCACCTATATCTAGGCTGAGACAGTATCCCTCCATGGATAATGGGCTCTAAAAAGCCACTTCATGCACTAGGAATAAATATGTGTTCCCCTGCCTCTGGCCCATAGACTGCCCAAGGCCCCCTCCCCCAACTGACACTCACAATCAGGGGGCCCAGTTCAGTCTTATGCAGGCTCCCTAATTGTCAGTCTGGAGTCTGTGAGTTCCTACTTGTTCAGGTCAGCTGCTTCTTTGGGTTTCCCCAACATAGTCTTGACCCCTTTGCTTATCACTCCTTCCTCTCTACAACTGGATTCCAGGAGTTCAGCTCAGTGCTTTACTGTGAATCTCTGCTTCTGCTTCAATCAGCTACTGGATGAAGGCTTTATGATGGCATTTAAGGTAGTCATCAATCTCATTATAGGAGAAGGGCATTTAAGGGAGCCTCTGCATTATTGCTTAGAATGTTAGTTGGGGACATCCTTCTGGATCCCTGGGAATGCCAGGTTTCTTGTTATTCCCATTATGGCTACCTCTATCAAGGTATCTCCTTGATATCCTTCTCTGTCCTTTCCTGAACTCGACCTTCCTGACCCCTCATATTCTCTTCTTCACTCCCCTTCACCCCTCCTCTCTCTCCTCCCTCCTTCCCTCTTCCCTCTGTGCTCTCAATTTACTCAGGAAATCTTGTCCCTTTCCCCTTCTCCAGGGGTCCTTGTATGTCTCTCTTAGGGTCGTCCTTGTTTTCTAGCTTCTCTGGGGTTGTGGATTGTAGGCTGGTTATCCTTTGCTCTATGTCTAATATCCACTTATGAGTGAGTACATGTTTTTCTTTCTGTGTCTGGGTTACCTCACTCAGGGTGGTTTCTTCTAGTTCCATCTATCCCTTTGCCTGTGGATTTCAAAGTGTCATTGTTTTTTGTTGTTGTTGTTTGTTTGTTTTTTGTTATTTCCAATGAGTAGTACTTAATTGTGTATATATACCACATTTTCTTTATCCATTCTTAAGTTGAGGGGCACCTAGGTTGCTTCCAGGTTCTACCTATTACAAATAATATTACTATTTGCCAAGGGACCCATATCTATTTCATGTATAGAACTTAAGTACAAATGGATCAAAGTCCTCAACATAAATCCAGCCCCACTGAACCTCTTTTAAGAGAAAGTGGAAAGTATTCGTGAATGCATTGTCACAGGAGATTACTTCCTTAATATAACACCTGTACCACAGACCCTGAAATCAACAATTAAGGAATAGAACCTCCTGAAACTAAGAAGCTTCTGTAAGGCAAAGGACACAGTCAATAAGACAAAATGGAAGCTAACAGAATGGGAAAAGTTCTTCACCAACCCCACATCTGACAAACGGCTGATCTCCAAAATACACAAAGAATTCAAGACATTAGTCACTACAACACCAAATAACCCAATTTAAAATGGGTACAGATCTAAATAGAGAATTCTCAACAGAGGAATCTCAAATAGCCAAAGGGCACTGAAGGAATTGATCAACATCCTTAGCCATCAGGGAAATGCAAATTAAACCACCCTGAGATACATCTTTCACCTGCAGAATGACTAAACTAAAAACACAGTGACACTTTATGCTGGAGAGAATGTGGAGAAAGGGGAACAGTCCTCCATTGTGGATAGGAGTATAAACTTGTACAGCCACTTTGGAAAACAGTATGGCAGTATCTTAGAAAAAAAATGGGAATGGATCTACCTCAAGACCTTGCTGTTCCACTCTTAGGCACATATCCAAAGAATACATACTCATACCAAAAGGATATCTGTTCATGTCTTCAATCTTGGTCAAGATTTTCACTGAGGTTTTGTTTTTGCCCTAGCCCCTCATGCTGTGGCTCAGAGGTGCAAAGCCAATGAAGAAAATGCAACCTAAGGTGTTGAATTTCAGGATCTGTTGGGTAATGTAATCCCACACCCACTTGCCATCAACTCTCCATTTCAGGGCCATAAGTCTATTGTCCCAAAGGGCTCTAACTTCTGAGACTGTTAGATTTCTGTCACATTTTCCAGAATTTGGAAATGATGGCAGTTTGTTCACATTGCACGTCCTCTTGATTTGAGTCACCAAATCTGTCTCCGAATGATTGTCTGCTATTACTCACATTGGGAATCCCCTGCTTCTTTACCATAAAGTGACAGAACCTATCAGATGGCAAATTCAGGTAGGGTTTTGTTACAAGCAGTTTTCCTGCCAGCCTGGTCTCACACCACCATCAGCCCCAAGTAACACACAGAGACACTATATTTGATATAAAGCTATTGGCCTGTTACTAGCGTTTCTTTTCTTTCTTTCTTTTTTTAATTTTATATAACCAAGTCCATTTAAATGAAAACAAACATTTATAGACAATATTTGGGAATTTGGGCACCTTTCATTCCAAAATACTTCCTGCTGGTAAGGGGCGCTGTCATGGGGGATTCGAAGAAGATTCAGAAATCCTGGCTATAGTATGTAAGGCTGCTTTGTCTAGCTGTTGTGAATGTAGGATCACCTGGTACTCTGTTTCAGGTGGTCTG